TGAGTTTTAAATAGGGATAATTTTTAATGATTTTAAAGTTTCAGGGGATTTTTAAGGATAATTTTAATTGATCGGCCTGTTTAAATATTTCTTTTTAATTCGGCTTTTAATTATTGTATTTGTATTGTAGTTTTTATGAGGCTGTTAGCCGCCCTGAGTCCCATGAGGAGAAGGGCGGGGTATAAATTAAATTATAAAAAATAAAAAAATAAATTATAAAATAAATAGGGACGTCCAGATTCAAATCCATCCTCAGTTATAGACGATCTCTGGATGAATTTGGGTGAGTTTCTTTTGTAGGGAATGGAAGAAAATAAAGGGAGAGGATACTATGGGTGCCACCACCTTGAGCTGTTAAATGAAAGATGGGACAGGGAGGAAGGAAGGAAGAAAAGGAAAGAAGGAAGAAAGGAAGAAAAGGAAGGAAGGAAGAAAGGAAGAAAAGGAAGGAAGGAAGGAAGGAAGGAAGGAAGGAAGGAAGGAAGGAAGGAAGGAAGGAAGGAAGGAAGGAAGGAAGGAAGGAGGGGATTGTTTTGCCTTTTCATCTGCATATAAGCAGATACACTTATACTTAGATGATGGGCAATAATAGACGTTTCTCTTTTATTGAAAGGACTACCTTGGCTCTTGTAATCCAGCGCTGGCCAAGGTCCTTCTCCCAGCTCTTGTAAATTATCATCCCTCTTCCTGTCTGTCTGCAGGCCTCAAAGCAAATGAACAAGAACAACAAGCGGCTCTGAGAGTAGCAGAGAATTTCATCTCACAAATGAAATATCCTCAGAACACTCAGGTAAGGATCCCTCAAGCTTGGGCAAACCATCTTCAAAGTGCCCAGAAGGTTTTCATAAAAGAATGACACACCTCCACTGACCGGTTCAGAGAAGGTCTAGGATGAAAAGTCTGGAGAACAACAGCAATGTCGTGGTGCAACTCACACATCTGAAGAGTTCTTGAAGAGAAGTGGACAAGGATTTGTTCTCTGCTTCTTTTATTTCTCTCCACATCTCACCTGCTTTTAATCTGGTTCCAGGTACAGATCCTGCCCCAAGGCCGTGAAAGTCTCCTCTTCAAACAATTCTTTACAAACTGGAAGTGAAAGCTGGAGTCTCCACCTTATGCTGGCAATACTCTGTGACTGTGCCTTTCTGCCCCATCAACCATTCAAGCCTTATTAAATTGGAGCCACTGTGTCCATCTTGCCTTCTGCTTTTGACCAACCCCCTTTAATTAGCAGCTCTGCATCCGAACCATGGATGAAACCTTCTGTTTCCTACTTCAGTCTTCAGTATTGTGACAACAGTAGGGCAGGAGTCTTCAAACTTGGCCCTTTTATGACTTGTGGACTTCAACTCCCAGAATTCCTGGCTGGCTGAGGAATTCTGGGAGTTGAAGTCCACAAGTCATAAAAGGGCCAAGTTTGAAGACCCCTGCAGTAGGGCAACCTTAACTAGATGGATTCTCTCTCTTAATTTTTTTGACCCAGTTCCTCCCAATTGTAAGCCTCTTTCTCTTTACGTCTAGAATAAGATAGGTAATGCAACATTCTCGTCTCTACTGGAAATAGAACATTTTGATGTGAGTTAAGAAAAGTCTGTGGCTGGGTTCACACGTTGCCCTGAACCAAAACCAAACCAGTCGCATTCATAGGGTGCAAACCCAACCTTACACAAAATGTGCTGATTATTACTATCTAATGATAGCTTTACTTCCTTGCTTGCCTCATTAGCTGTATTCGGGCCTTTGAGCCATACCTTTTACGGAATTATACCTTTCCTGTTTTCACATAATAGATTGAATCACAAACTAACTAAAGAGGCTGGGTTTGACCCACCCGCTGCCTTAATCCTAACCAAGTTTTGTTTGAACACACCTGTCAGGTTAGATGTGTTGTGTAAACATAACAATGGGGTTTTTTCATCTCCAGGAACAGCATGCAATAGATAAAAGAACACCTAAAGTTATATAATTTCATGCTGGCTTTAATAACTTTCCTCCTTTTCCCATAACCTCTGATTTTGTGTCTTTCTCCCCACCTGGAACCCAGGGAATACCCCCATCACCCTGGGTGGGACAAGAAAGATGAGTAGCAAGGGGAAGCAGATATCCCACAGGGAGTCTATCTTTTTTGCCGGAAGCAAGGACCGAAACTTGTCTAGTCTCCGATATGTTAAGTTGCCATTCAAGTCTATGATCTGTCAAAAGTTGCCTGGTAGGTTGGATCTGGCTCCATCTGTCATTGCCTGCTTTAAACAACAAAAGCTGTGCTCTTATCCACCCTCCAGGCATTCATCATCTTTCAATCATCATAGGCTACTGTGAAGCCATCGTGATTAACTGACAGGCCCTGACAAGCAAGATTGCATCCTGAAGGAGTCATTATCAAAAGCGGCAACTCTTTCCTGCTTTAAAAAAAAAAGGGGGTGGTGGAGGGGGGAAGACTCACTGCTTCCTTCCTGGAACAGCAAATCAGATCTGTGACTAAACAAGTTTCACCAGACCATCTTTGGCCTCGGCGGGAGAACTTTTACAACATAAAAAGAATTGAGCAGGTAGGGAGAAGATATCTTTGGTTCCTTCTTTAACAAAAGAGCTCCTTATTTTCTACTTCCTAGAGTCTATGAAAGCTTTTTTTTCTGGTGATTGGACGTTCTGATCCCCTTAGTGTCCATCTTCCAGTTCCTTTGTTATTTTACAGAAAGGTTGCTATTTGAAGCACAAGTTCCAACGAGTCCATGTGTAGGCCTTTGCTGCTCTTCCGTTTTAGCAAAGTGAAGCCGCCACACCTTGAAGGATGGGCAACTTCAACCCGCACCTCAAGGGCTTGTCACTTTCAGTTTCATCAGGAGGGCTCTCTTTGTCCAGCCGCAGATGTGCAGTGTGATCCTCCGAGATACTGCCTCAAATCAAGGTCATAGAGCAGTGGTGGCGAACCTATGGCACAGGTGCCAGAGGCGGCATTCAGAGCCCTCTCTGTGGGCATGCGGGCCGTCGCCCCAGTCCTAGGCCTTCAGCTGGGTTTTATAAAACCTTTTCGCTTTAGGCCTCCGCCGCCATGTACAAAAAAAAAAGGTTCAATCAATCAGTCAATTTCGACTTCTCGCGGGAAAAAAAAAGATCTTGCAAAGTTGGAATTGATTGATTGAACTTTTTAGTCCCACCCAGTCTACCGTTACCATGGCAGCCACACCCACCCAATGGGCCACGCCCTGCCAATGGGCCACACCCACTCAATGGGCCACACCCACCCAGCACCCGACGATGCATAAGTGGGTTTTGGGTTGCAGTTTGGGCACTCGGTCTCTAAAAGGTTCGCCATCACTGTCATAGAGAAATACATAGGGCAACCCAAGGTCAATATTCCTCACCCACCCTAGGCAAGTCCTTGCAGGGTCAAGACAGCCAAGGGCAAAATATTGAGCAAGGTGGAAGAAATGGCAGAAAAAGCAGCACAAAAACACACACGTCCCTCAACCTCCAGCTGAGGTCCTCGGAAGTTGGGTGGAAGTCTAACGCCCAACGAAGGGCTAGTAGGCATTATCCTGAGAGGCTCAGTGGTGCAATCCAGCC